AGTTAAAAAAATGAAGTTTTAAAATTGTAGGATGAGATATCAAAAAACTAAATATAAAAACCTAAGATTAAAAAGAAACTGCAATCTGACCTTATTGTGCAAATTAAAATTTAATACCAGAAACAATTTCAAGTTAAGCAGTTACAATAAATCTACTAGTAAAAACAAAACAGGTCTCCCAATTGCCTCTCCAATGCGAATTCTACAGTTTATAACATTCAAAATAATAACAACATTTGCATCGAAAACTTAAGAGATATTTTGAAGATAGGAAACGCTATTATAGCAGTAGTAGTTCGAGGCCCAGCAAACGGCGGAGATTGGCTGCGTGGATGGTTTTCCCCATGTGTAACATGAACACAGTCAGTTCCTCTTAAAAAATTCTCCACTCAGTCATCCCTTGCCTTAAGAAGATAGCCCTCGTGTTCATTGCCACACTCAGAATAACATAATACACTACTTTTACAATCTACTGCATGTGCATAGCAATGCATTCGTGGCTTTTGCCAAGAATCAGTCAGAACGTGTCCTATGTTAAATGAAAATTTAAGTTTCAGAGATTATGTTACTATCGCACTGTTCAATGTTTGGGTTGCTGTAAAAGGACTGGACTAGACTGTGGGTTTCATGCTGCATTCAAAGGGTTATAAAGCGCCAAACGAATTGCTATTAGAGTCCATCTTATTTAAATAAAATTTTGAAAAACATATAATATAACATTCTGATCAGAATTCAGTAATATGCTGATGAAAAGATGAATGAAATTCGCCACATGAACGAAAGTATAAAAACAGGTAAAACCTCAATATATGATAATGATTTCATGTTTTGAGAACTTCAAATAATGGTTTTATGTTGATCACTCGGATAAAATTCACAGGATGAATGCAGATATAAAATCCAGATAAGATTTCAGTTTATAAAATACAACATTTCCTACAGTTAACAAAACACATTAAAATTAATTCATATTAGATTATACAATTCAGTCTAAATACTGAAATAAATTTGAATTGACCTCTTTCCTGGCTAAATGGTCAAGAGAAAGGACACAGCTTTTAAGATACTTTTGTCGAAAACCTGACACCCAATTAAAAAATGACCCATTAGAGAGGACTGAATAAAACAAGTGGAACAAACAGGCTCACTCTCATATTTTAAAAGGTAGTTATGGGTAAGTAGAAAATGAGCGATTCTTAGACGAGCTAGCAAAACTTAACTCCCTCCGGTTTCTTGTAGCCTCCCAATACTCTAATTAGTTTTCACACTTTTCAACTTATTTTGAAACTTAATATTCCAGGCTTTTTGCTATTTATTTACGATATTTTGCTTGATGACTTTGATAATATCTCTGAAAGGAATGATCCGACTGAATAATTCAAATGTACACTTTACAGTGATGTCTGCTAGCTCGTTTCATTTTATCCCTCTACCTCCAGAAATACAGCAATGAAGGATCTGGTACCTGAGGCTTTTTAAGTCTATGCTTAATAGGGTATCAACTACTACCAGAAGATTCTAGGTATTACAAAATGATTCTAAGGCTTTCGGTGGTATTTGGGAAATTCATTTGCATAGCAATGCTATTCAAAGATTTTTAGAGAAACCTCGTGTCTAGTTAACACTAATTGAAGTCGCTTTATTTTCTGTAATGAATTCCGGAAGGCAATTAAACTAAAAATAGAGAGCTACGTCATTGGTCGTCTCTCCCCAACGTAAATTGGAATAGACACTTTAAAGAAACGTTGGTGAAATCTTAACATCGCAGTTTAGAGTTGGTTAACTTTATTCCCAACTTTAGGTGTCTGATTTTGTCCTGGAATTGTTGTGAAGGAGAAGAATTTGTCTTCTGGGAATGAATAGAAACATTCTAATGGGAATTGCTAAATTTTCTCAACGAATTCCTCTTATAACATTTACTGCTGAAGGGTCAAGCCCAGTCTAAACCTTAATAATAAACTAATTAATTAGAAAATTGAAAAGTTTAAGTAGTTTTTCCAGTAAATTTAATTTTATATTTATTACAAACAAATAGTCGTCAGGTTCATTAGTTATAGTTAAGTCCTCAAGGGAGTTTTCTAATGGAAGGTAGAAGGAAATTTCTGAGAAACAGAATAAAATTCTCGTTATTACCATGTTGTTATATACCAGCGTTCAAAATTAAAGCAATAAATTAATTTTTCAACATACAGCTATGAAATTGCTGAAAAGGGCATTTTGCAATCAGTACAATGAAAATACAACTAGGTAGAAAGGTGATTCATATGCAAATATCAGCACCATGACGTCAGATGGTATGCCAGACCGCGCCAAGCGCGAGGAGTCAGCTCACGGAGTGCAAAGCAAATAGAAAAGAAGCAAGGAAGACGCATTCTAAGTTTTCTTCTGGAACTGAAAGTGAAACTGTACAACAAAACATCAGAACACCTTTAAACATGGTAGAGTGATTGGCAAGCTTGAAAAGGGGCATAGTTTGACATCTGTCTAAGAGAGTTCGGAATTGATAAACGTATTGTTTCATGAGGCTTCCAAACGACAGGTATCGCTGTAAAAGTGGTTGGTGGCGGTTGGCCGAGGGAATCAACACTGACTAACTACCGGTATATCGCTCTGCATGCAAAAATGGATCGAAATCAGATAACGGGCAACAATGAAAAGAAGTTGCGCTCGGCAACTGGAAGACAGGTGCCTCGGTTTACTCTAGCAAAAGACTTTGCAGAGGTGGCCTATTAGCACGTTCTAAACGCTACAAACCACTAACAGCAGCCCATCAGCAGCCCTGTTTACAGTGAAAGAACGCAAAGGCTGGTCAACTCATCAATAGAGTCACGTTCTATTTACTGATTAGAGTCTTTTCAGTCTGACAAATAGTTCTCGGAGCCAGTTGATATGGAGAATGGTAGGGATACGCTTTCATCCCGTTCACATCAGGAAAAGAGACCTCTGGAATGGTCCGGGCGTGCTCGTATGGGAAGGCATGATGAACGGACGGACGTTCATCATGCCTTCCCATACGAGCTATATGCTTTCCTCATTCTTTAAGTACTATAATGTGCCTCTTTAATATGAATTTCACATATCGCAGCTGATGTTTGAGCGCATTTATGACCAAAATAGAAAAAACAATGCTTCATTGCACACTACCATTTATAAGTATATAAGTATGCACAATGTAAATAAAACTACGAAACGTCTTTGCAACTAGTTCTTACGGTCTTCGAAAATCACACTCGGAACGAATTACCTTTGCTCCACGAATTTAGCCAATCACACTGAATGACAGAGTTGAAAAACTGCATTACGTACTATTTTGAAAATTAACCGTGCTTAATAATATTAATAGTTAATTAATTGATTGATTTCATTAAAGCCAAGTATGTCAAGATTATCTGACAAAGTGACGCCTTTATGAAGAATATTTATAATAAAAAAAATTCATATTTAAACTCACACAAGAGAAAAACCATGAAACTCCAGATAGTCGATTCGCTGTAAAAAGAATTCGGGACAACCTATCAGCATACGGTGCCTTGGCCAGTCTCGTCACGATGAACTGGCTGGGCAATGAAGAATAACTCTTATGAGATGTCTTATACCTATAGCTAGATATCCTGAATGTATTTCATAAATAATTTTTACAAATAACCACATAAATGGAAATTTTTTCATTCAAAAATAAGATATAAAAAGTAATATTGTAAATTTGGTTCTATTATACTTTGTTGTTTATTTAAATTTTCAAAGCTGTAGCACAAGGACAGAAAAATTAGCACTTTGAAACTTTGCAAACTTAGCGAAATTTAAGACAGTATTTAAAGTCATTAGGTTGCACCGAAGCAGGAACATGAAAAATGCACATTGCCTTCGTCGGGATTTGAACTCCGAACCTCCCGAATACACGCCTGATGTGCTACCCAGTTACACCACGAAGGAAGGCAGAAATTAGAGAGAAAATACCTTTTAAGTATAGTAGTAGTGATTCAAATCATCTTCCGACATATATGGAGCTGTTTCCCTCCCCCCCCCGAAAAAAACGACAGTCTGAATTTTGTTTTGCTTTTATTGAAACTTAGCGTTACCAATATCATGCTGTAGGTTAGTCCGTTGGCTGATTACGTTTAAAAGCATGTGAAGACTATCTGCTTCAGAACGGATACTTCCATATTGGACCTTTCTAGGGCAAACACACAGGAATACCACGAAAACGCCATATATTCATGTCTCGTTAGCCACGAATCATACCTTGGGCCAACTATCGAGTTCATTAATCTTATGGATTTGGCCATACTATGACGCCATGTTAATAACAGTGGTCATTACTAGTTACATTTATTACTTATATTTAAATGTTTTCGAGTTGTTTTTAAACAAACTCTGTTTATAAATTTTATTAGGATATCATTGTGCACGTATTACAAGAACCATATGATTATTACATAACTATAGCACCTATGAATTAAACTTGTATAATCAATATCCAATTGTAAACAAGCTGTTATCCTGAAAAGAGACGTAACTTCTTGACACATTCTTTTTTTAGCCTAGACTACAATTTTAAATTATTATTGCCTTCATAAGTTTACTGCCCCCCCCAAAAAAAACCTACATAATAAGGAACTATATAGTAGCCAAAGTTGCATTTAACCATTTATCTAGACAAAATTCGACTTAAAGCTAAGAGCCTTTTATTTGATTCATGAGGGAATAATAATTCATGACTACATCAGAATTCATAACTGAGTAATCATTAATGGCTTTATACACATAACACAATAATTAAGATATATCGATAATGAAGGACTCCAAAGAATGGGCAGTGAAGACAAAGTTATTCCGTCAAATGCAAACTGATTTCGGCAGGATGAACTTGGGGTTTAATTTTCTAAATTAGTATTACGCAACGTTTTTATGATTATTTTCTATATAAATATAACATTAGAATTGTCTGCACATATTTTACTCCAATATCAGTGTATATAAGTACGATAGCATTGCTTTACCTTGATTTGTTTCTTCCACGCAGGTTCCTCTTGGATGCCAGAACTGGAAGATGGCATGGGTGGAGGAGGAGGAGGAGGAGGAGGTGGTGGTGGAGGAGCAACCATGCCTGTAGATAGTTGTTGACTCTGAGGAGGTGGTGGTGGAGGCGGAGGTGTTGGTAATTCCTGAGGTGTTGGCCATGGAGCTGCAGCACTTTCCTTAGAGGGGGAAAATGGTGGTGGTGTTGGAAAAGAGTCAGCAGGTAAAGGACACCACGGCTGAGGAGCTGAAGATGATTGCTGCCGTGCAAACGGTCCAGGAAAACCATAAGAATATGGTGAAGTATTATTATATTCTGCCTGTTTATTCTCAGAAGAGTTATAGTTCGTAGGCGAATATGGTTTCGGTGATGGCTGATACTGTGTTGAACTCTGTCTTTGGAAACCAGGACCTGAATTAACAGAAACGGGTTCATAACGCACAGGAGATTCTGCTGTTGATGGTGAAATAGAGTTTTGTTTAGCAAAAAGTCCAGGTGCAGGACCTGGTGAAGTTTGGTATAATACAGAATCTTGTCTTGAAGTTTGATTAGGAGAGCGGTCCTGCCTCTCGGCTGGGTAAAATGTGGAGTTCTGTGCTACTGCAGCAGGCGACCAAGAATCTTGTCTAGCAGGCTGGTATAGGGCAGAATCTTGCCTCTGAGGCTGAGTAGGTGAAACAACGTTCTGCCTGCTTCCTGAATAAGATGTTGAATTCTGTCTTATAGGTGCAGATGACCAAGAATCTTGTCTGTTAGGTTGCTGAGTGGATGAATTCTGTCGTACAAATTGGTTCGATTGTGAATCTTGTCTTGAAGGTGAATAGGAATTTGATTCTGGATTTGCTGGTTGATACCATGAATCTTGCCTAGAAGGTTGATAAGATGGAGACTGCTGTGTAACTGGATTAGCCCATGAACTTGATTCATACGGTACTGATTCCTGCCTAGAAGCCTGATAAGATGGCTGCTGCCTGGATGTATGATACACTGGCGCCGGACTTCCATTTATTTGATTGTTGACACCATTACTTTGTGATTGGTAAAATACAGGAGTCCCAGATCCAGATTTTTGAGGCGAAATTTGCGCAGGTGGATACTGACTAGGATTGCTCTGAAAAGATGTTTGCCTAGCTGGAGATCTAAACTGGGTACTTGTGTCACCAGTAGGCACAATGATCTCCTGGTAATACCTAGGTGATGATGTGACAGTAACTGATTCTTGACGAGATGGCAATGGATTGTAAGAGTTTTGCCAAGGAGAATTATCAGATGAATTGGAAGACGCTGTTTGAGGTGTCGACACTTCTTTTTTTGGTGTACCAAAGGTATGTACGAAACCTCCAGAAGGATCGGGTTTTACAGATCCTGGAATAACATTTTCATCTGTATTTTCTTGAACAACTGTTGTTTGGAAAGAAGGTTTCCACGTTGATTGCTGTACCACCGGTGTAAACTTGCTGGGATTGAATGCTGGCGTTGAAGGTGTAACTGGAGACCACGCGGCGCCTTGTGGTCTTCTGAAATATTAGAAACAAATATGTGTAAAGAAATGAACACCTTTATTTTTTATCTAGCATGATATATTTTAAATACATAAATAATATGTGAGGTTGACCTAGAACTTCTGTACTAAATTCTGGACTACCAGTTGTTCAAGCTCATGCTTTAAAAAGACGCTCTTGGATATTCACATAGAAATTTAGCTCAAAAAATCTCCCCCTGCTTTAACCTAAATTGTTCCTAGTTTGATTTCCAAAATTTTACACACTGCATTAAATAATTTTAAATAATATATATATATACCGAAAGGGAAATCATTTCTTGGCTTGATAAAGACACTTTGTATCGTTAGTCTAGACAGTAGGAATCATGTCAGCGGTATCAAACTTAAACTGTATGCAAGTCGAATGCACAATCTGAAAACAGCCGACGGATCAAATGTTTTTTAACAAAATAAAAAATATTTTAAATAAATTTTAAATTTCGCTTACTAAATACATATAAAAACTACATAAACAACATTAATAATATCGCAAAGGGAAAAAATTCAAATTTATATTAATTTCCCATCTGAAATCTAAATTTTGTTTTCCAACAAAAATATCTTACAAGTGCCAACTAAAGTTGGGAGACATTTTTGTGGGTGATGCTTCTTAATTCAAATATACTGACAGCTAATTATTAAATTCTTAGATTGGCACTTCCTTCTCATAATTTTAACATATTTAATTAATCTTTAAAATAAATAACTTTAATTTAAATTAAAAATTAAGCAAATTATGAAAGGTTATTAGAGAAAGTTTGCCAAGTGGGTCAAACTTACGAATAAATAAAAGCAATTTAGTCTCATTCTCTAATTTATTAAATATTTCTTCGACGCATAAATAAAAACACATTGTGTTTCGTATAAAAATAATTATAAACTTCTTCCTTTCTTACTATATCTTAATATCTGATGGTTTATCGAGTCTGATAAAGTTTGTACCCTTGGACAGAAATTATCTTCAGATAGATTGCAGTTTCCCACAGGTAAATCGGTTCTTTTCTTATTAATTTTCAGCTGTGAAAAAATGCTGCTCATATATTAACGTATTCTCAAACAAAACTCTTAGTCCAAAAATTCGTAGCCGAGTCTTTTTTTTTTTTTTTTTTTTTTTTTTTTTTTTTTTTAAGTGTGAATAAAATTTATTAAAATCTGAGAATCTGTATCTTCAAATTTTTGAATGAAATTCATATCGTATTACAAATTAATTAGCTCCATTTACAGGTTTTTTAATGGAAATAAAAAATAATGAAAACCGGATTTGAAATAACTGAAATCTTTAAATCTTTGCAACATCGCATTTACAATAAACACATAATCGAAGTGTCTTCGCGGAAGTTTTGAGACCACCGATTTATGTTACATTCTTCATACTGAAACTCCATTTTTACAATCATGGAAATTAAGTGATAGTATTTAATATAGCTTCTTATTCATATTGACAATGTCGTCACTTATCAATCACAACATTATAATATAATCATTATGTATGATATATCTTCTTTATGTATTGAATTGTAAACTTTATATGTAACTTGCTAAAATTACTTGCTAGGGTATTGAATTGTAATCTTATGTGTCACTTGCTAAAATTTTATTCATAAGTACTGTGTTCAAACAGATATAACCATTTTTAATATCTATGTTTTGTAGCAGTAATCAATGTGCCCTATGAGTGGATCTCGTGTGGCCCTAACATGAGTCAGATTTAGATAAGGGTGGACGTGGAGCTAAACCAATTAAACATAATGGTAAACGGGTGGTGCCCACGTCCTCCGTCACTAAACTAAAACTATGCATCTGCGCATTTTATCCTGTAACACGGCACCGTATCGCAAAGAACTAACTAGAGCCCCACTCTAAAATTAATTGCACCAATTATCTGTTCAGCATAGTATTAAGTACTTATTGTTAATGTATGTTAAAGTAGCACTTACCTAACGCTTGGGTATCCACTAATTATTGTGTATCTAATACACATGTTTTAATATCTTTGTACATTGGTTAATGTTCTTAGGAAACAGTACAAATAATTCAGTAGCAAGACACTGTACCACACAGTACTAATCTAGGGTCTAAATTTTAATTCATTGTACTAATTACTTATTCCAGCATAACATTGCGCACCTAATATTTCAGTATGTACATGTCTTCTGTAATCTAATGATAATGCTTCAAAGGATCATAGTGTACTCAACATATGAGTACACACGTTATGTATACATGCTATCGTATCCATGCTTTTGCATACACCTTGTAACATGGCAATGTATTATCCAGTGTCTAACATTAATTAGCTTTAACGACACTGTATGAAGTACCAAATTTGTATGTATGTTTATATATTAGTATATTAGCACAATGAACACGTATGGTTATCTAGATAAAGGTGGACGTGGCGCTATACCGATTAACCGTATTGGTAGAGGGGTGGTGCCCACGTCCTCCGTCGCATGTCGCATGTCACGTCACGTCACTAAACTAATATAGTTCCTTAATTTTGCGCTTTGATTTAGAACCTAAAATTGAATTCTCTTTTTATAATATTGTTGCATGCGTACGGGTTCGTGATAGATTGAATGCACATAGGACCGAAGATAGCTCGATAAAATTCATTTTATCAAAAGAAACACTTCAAAGTTCTAGAACTTTCCATAGAAATACTCGTACAACTCTTCATAGAGTACAATCAGTAACTATACTTCAAACTACTAAGAACGTTAAACACAATGCAATGTAAAACGCATCTAAAAGGCGAAACTCACGTGGTTATCTCAATACTCCGAAGTCTAACACCTGAAAGCAAATATTCTCTCCGGTCTTATATAGTTTTCACCTCGGCGCCGAGAAATGTATAGCATTTCTCGAAATTATCAGAAGGCATATGAGGGCCGGATACAGTTACAGCTACATATGGAATCGATTACTACGGTGATATAGGAACAGGACCAAAATGTCAGAAAATGGTCGCCAGGACCAAAATGTCAGAAAACGGCGATTTCTTGTCAAATTTCGTGACAAACTTTAGTTGTTAAAATCGTCGCCAACTTGGCGATATTTCGCCAAACTACAGAGATAATAATGTTAAATAAACATGCCCCTGTGTTCTTACTTTTCTGGCAAAGCATCGACTCTTTAGGTTTTCATTTTACATTATGCAAAACAATTTCGCACATAATTTCATTAAAATTATTGACTCAGATACACAATTCGCAACAATATTTTGGAACACACATAAATTTTCTTTACCTAAATATAATCAAATCTGTCTATAATTAAATATACTAAAATTAAATCTATTTATAATTACATCTATGTATAATGTCTATTATTAAGAATTTTAAGAACTTTTAAGGGCAAAATGTAACTAAATTAATAACATTTCGAGTTCTTTCATACCGACATTGAATAGAGATGCTCTTGTTGCTGTAATTAATCTCACTTGTCAGATGTAATCAGAACAATACCACGAATTATTATGATGGCAAGGAGTGCAAGATTGCGTCTGTCGTTGGCCAGAGCTTTGAACACCATACAGATGACAGTCCGACTTTATGTTCATTTTCGCCCAAGTTCGGAAGAAGAGCACCTTGGGGAACAGATCTGAGGGTATCTCACTCCTCTTTTCTTAACACTAAGCTCTTGAGAGAACTTTTGGCTCGCCGCATATTTTGAGTGCCATATGTCGCATAAACACTGTGCATTACCAAACATCCATGCCTTCTCCGATACTCGAGCCCGTTCCTTCGGTAACGGCAGTCAGCGTCGCTAACCACTCTCCCGTGACTTGACTAGCTAATGTTAAACTATGACGTTCTCGAATCAGTTTATTCTCCTAATAATTACATCTTTCAACACAAAAATTGTGTGTTTAAATTATTTCAGCACTGTCAAAATTATTTCAAACCGTGTCTAGTTATAATCACAGATTATTATAACAAATCTCTGCAATTCTTATATAAATTTTGTAAAAATATATTCCGTAAATATTGTAAAAACACAAAAGTCACTAATATTGAAACTTCTGACAAATCTATAAAACACAATAAATTTTTAAATGAATGTGGTTTTCACCTAATGACCATAAAACCTGAAGGTCAAGTCATAAAGTAGCTCATTTCGAGTGACCAATAATTATAGGCAAACTAATAAGGTAAAAATCTCATCAACATGCCTATCATGATTTAAAGCAGCTATCAAATCAGATCAAATATTTCGCCAACCTGCCACATGAAGAGAATCTTCTGTTAACACTTCGCCAGCCAATTATATTCTTGACGTCTATAGATAATAGCAAAAACAGCTCTGAATTCGATTATTTAAGTTAGGCAAATTATAAGCGGACCACCTGCTTGAGCCCCATCCCGCTTTTGACCAAAGATCCCTGTTACTTTGTAGAGTCATTAGGTTTATGCAGGAGACGTGAAAATGCGCAGTGCTCTCCTCGGAATTCGAACCTCTCGATTACACGTCCCACGTGCTTCCAGTTACACCCCTAAGGTACTCGGAAAGGAGGGAGAAAATATACTTCTCGAAAAGGAAACACTGTATTACATTACATGCAACTTCAACAAAAATTATCTCAAATCTTACAAAAAGACTGCAGGGTTTATATTTATCAAAACAGAAAAGTGATGGATAGGGTTTCTTTCCAGGGAATAATGAGCCCGTTTTTTCAGGAACTTCTACAAACTTTTAACAGAATTTTAATCCACATTTTCCCTAAGAACATTAAATTGCTAACTTTTTTTAAAGAACAGTGATACCCTAATTCTAAAAGAAGAGGAATGGAATAAAGAATCGTAAACTGTAGTTATTTTCTGTTATCCCCGCCCCCCAAGATTTGACATGATAATAATTTTTAAATATAAAAATTAAATATAAACTGAAAAAATGAAAAATATAATTATCTTACCAATCTTATATCAAATTCACTCATTCTTAAACATGAAAAGCTTCATGTTATGTTGTGCA